CACACACACACACACAGAGTTTGGGAACACATCCAGTGATGCTGAAGGCTTACTCCTCGGTCTGTGCTCAGTAGTCATTCCTGACAACACTCAGGGGATAATATGTGGTGCCATGGATCAAACTAGGGTCAGCCATGTGTAAGGAAAGCACCTTACACTCTATACTATATTTCTGGCCCTAGAGATTCAAGTACTTTCATAAACATATTTTCACTTTATCCTCAAGTCAACCCTATAAATTATTATTCCCAATTTCGCTGGTACAGAATTAGTGTGGGGAATGTTAAGTGGCCTGTTCTGTTCATCATCAAAGAATAGAAGCTAGGAAATAGTACCTGGTATCTATGGTACCAAAATCCAATATTCTGACTAGTTTCCACATTGTTGGCTACTGTGTTTGTGATGCCAAGGCTGCATGGTATCACAAACAAGTATGTCACATGACTGTATTACAATACAAATTTGTCACAGCAACTATTTACATAGCTAATAAACTATTGAATAGAGGCAAAAGAAAAAATAAATCCAAATCTCCTTATTTATTGTTGAAGCTATATGTAATTTCTTTCCGTTCAAAGATCTAGTTTCCTACTGAAAGACGTATTTTGGTATCACACAAATGTAACTGTATTGTGTTGATTTTTATAATAGCTCCTCTCATTTGTAAATATCAAAACTATCACCCCAAGAAAAACTATTACCATTAGCAGTATGGCAAATTATAATTTAAATAAAGAGAATCTGAAGCCCCATGCAGAGGTTCTGCAACATCCCTTTAAGTTTTTGTTATCTCAATAGTTTCCCAATTCATAATGTGAAACGTTGGAAGTCATTTATCTTTCTAAGTCTCATTTTCTTACGTACCAAAGGAGAATAATGAATTAGATGATGGTAATGAATTAGAAGTTTCCTTCTAATTCCATGACAACATAATAATATTGGAGAGGATCCTTTCCCAGTTGAAGAATATGTATCCACATACTTTAAACTAATGCCAGTGCCGGACACATCAAATACTATTACAGAAGCTAAAGCTAGAGAGCACTAGCTGAGTTCTGCAGAACATTGGCAATTCCAAGAGTTATCACCAAGCCAGTAACATCCAAGGGATGAAGAGCAGCTCCACCGACAGCTGTCTACATGCATGTCTCAGTCCTGGCTGAGGTCCGATAACCAAAATTCACAATGTTGGACTTTAGGATGTCTATTATACACTGCACTTTAGTCATATAAGTTTCTATTTGGCAATAATTGTCCTTGCCCTCTTCTATAGGTACCATTGTGTGGTTAACAGAATTGGCCTCCAATATTGAGTTCTCGGCTGCTCGCAACCTCTAATATTTACTTTCATTTTCATTTTTAAGAGAGAAAAGCATCTGATTCTGGGAAGAGACTACAGGATCTATCTGATGTTGGGAATCTGGCCACAGACACAGAGGAAGACTGATAAGAGGCAGATTTGGAGTTTTCTGCTATTTAAAACTTAAAATCTCAGTTAACAGAGAGTCTACAAAATTCACATTGAAAATTCTAGATCATAATGCCTATTAGCCTGACTTTTTTTTTTTTGCCTCTCTTCAAGTGCTATGGGGGCAATGGCCAAGTCAATTCACAAAGATTAAAGGGTTCAAATGAAGGGTATTCTCCCTCTTGTAGAGAGAGAAAAACAACAAACACATTAAGCCCTAACTGCCTTAGTGAAACATCCTTTGTTCAACACGCAAACAATTATGAGATAAGAAATAAGAATAAATAACCTAGTGCTTTGAAGTTTTAAAAACAAATGCTTTGTTTTAAAATACTCATTTGCCAAAACAGAAATAATTAGTTTGACGAATAAACAACATGTTACCAAGGATCCAGAGAAACAAAAGTAGAAATAGTGATCTGAGAAGAAATAGAGAGCAGAAGATTAATATCACATTGCATAAAAAATATTCATTATAATTATAAACTATAAAAATGGAAGAAAAAGAAGAAACAGATGCACAGAGAAAAAATACATCCTCTTTAAGAAAAAGATTCTAATAGCAAGTTTTCTATAATATACATTTCACCACAACTAAAAATACAAAACAGGTTTAGAAAATATTCAGTAGAGTTCATGACTAGTCAGAGAAAAACTTCCAGAAAAAGTCAAATTGAGACTAGATGCAGAATATCTTTTGTAAAGAAATAATAGTTTTTATTGGTTTTATAGATGGCATTAATAAAGTTAGCATACCTATAAAAGTATATTTATTTCCATCTCACATGAATCTAAATGAACAGAAATATATTTTATTGTTAGTGGATCCATTAACTTCTGCCTGTAACTAATTGTTCACTTGAATATTCAAACTGTTGCATATAGTATGTCCTCTAAAAAGATGTGCTCTGATATCTGTTACTGGGATCACATGTTTCTCACAAAAAAAAATTCCAGAAGAAGTGGTGAAAACCTCTGATCATGATTTTTAGTCCACATTTCACGTAACAAAGGAAATCTGACTTGACTATCAGAAGAACTACATTCACAATTTTTCTTTTTTCCTCAACAGTAAGGCACAACTGATTTAAGAATCCAAACGACTTGAAACATGAACCAATGGGCAAATTCCACTTTAAGTATGAAGAGCGGATAAAATATTCAATATTACACACGATATATTTCTTCAAATCCTTTTTGATTTGAACTTTCTAACATCCTGGTACGACAGGAAGATTCACACAGTCAAGAATCAAGAACAATGCAGAAACAAGTTTATTAGCTATCCGTGGAAACTGGTTCCAGGATACCCCTGACCTTTCTTGCCCCATAGTACCAAAATATAACAGTGCTCAAGTCTGCAAAGCTTCATATAGTGTTGGTTAGATCTGTAGATGCAGAATGCAGGGGTTGAAAGGGCTCACTCTTCTCTACCTATCCACAACGCTCTCTAGACTACATCAAACAACACACTGATGCAGGAAGTATCAGCCATGAGTGGCAAGAGCAGAAACAAAATGGAAACAGTTCTGATTGGATGAGGGCAAACCATGCATCATCCACAGAATGCTGACCAGGATACATACATACATATATATATATATATATATATATATATATATATATATAAAACCTCACTTAAAAAGACCTTCAGTAGGAAGGTTAAGAGACTGAACAAGCACTTTGACTTAAGCACACAGCCAGTTTAGGGGGCATAGCAACAATTCCATGTCACATATTCAAATCCCATGAGAATCTTGATCTTGTTCTCTAATGCATTGCTGAGAGCCAGATTTCAAGTCCTCAAGTCCTTTCCTCAGAAGCCCTTTCCTCATGAGTGACTACAATTTCTCATACTTTATGCTACTGTTATACCAAGAGTAGAACAGCATTTGATGGGGTATAAAGTAGACCACGGGCTGGAGCGATAGCACAGCGGGTAGGGCGTTTGCCTTACAAGCGGCCAACATGGCCGACCCGAGTTCGATTCCTCCGCCCCTCTCGGAGAGCCCGGCAAGCTACCGAGAGTATTCGATATGCCAGACACAGTAACAACAAAGTCTCCAATGGAGACGTTACTGGGCCCGCTCGAGCTCGAGCTCGAGCTCGAGCTCGAGCAAAGTAGACCACAATCAATCTTGATGTGTGTGTGTGTACGTGTGTAAGCACACAAAGGCTCAAATTCTAATAACATCTTAATGTTCTTTTATACAAGGACTTAATGGCTCCAAGGTGAGATAAAACAATTTTCACATACTTTCCTCTAAGGAAACCTTTTTGGATCATTTTTAGTCAATTATTCAAAATAAGCAACAGCACTGTAGCACTGTCCTCCCATTGTACATTGATTTGCTCGAGCAGGCCCAGTAATGTCTCCATTGTGAGACTTGTTGCTACTGTTTTTGGCATATTGAATTCATCACAAGTAGCTTGCCAGGCTTTACCATGCAGGTGAGATACTCTCGGTAGCTTGCCAGGCTCTCCGAGAGGGGCAGAGGAATCGAACTTGGGTCAGCCACGTGCAAGGCAAATGCCTTACCACTGTACTACCGATATGGCCCATAATAAGCAATACAAAATAAATTATTTAGCAGCTGCTTGTGGGGCAGGCTTCTATATTGATGGAAATTTTCAAAATAATGGTAGTGAGAAGGTGTAGTGGTGGTGAGACTGGTGTTGAATTTACTGTACTGTTGAAATTGAATGTACTCAATTATTGTGAACAACATTATGAAAATAAAATTTTTTAAAAAAGAAGCCCCCTCCTTCATGAAATCTATTCTCAACACTCCATTTACAGCTTCAGCTTCTGTCTCTGCCCCCTAGCCCCCCGCCCATCAACTCCCACCCTAGCTAAAGTTTGCTCCACTTGCCCTACTCTACCGACAGATTTAATTCTGTCTTTACTGTTTGTTATTAGTATATGCTCCACAGAACAAGGACCTTTGGGCTTTTTTTCAATCAAGATATCCCAGATCCTTAGACTATTCTCTCCAAATCAGCTTTCAGTAATGATGCAAATGATTTCTTTTTTATGCTATATGGTTGCCACTGGCCAGAAGAGTTTGCAAAGAAGTTAGTACAAATGTAGGATTGAATCCAACTCTAACTAATTTTATTATTTAATAGCCATATATGGCTAATGCCACCATACTTGGACAGCCCAGGCCTCAGACAAAGCCAGCACAAACACATTTCCAATAAATACTTGTTAAATTTAGAAGCAAAACAGTAAAACATATTTTCCATATGTTAATAAAACATTTTTCACTACCTGCAAATTTAATTTTTTTCAATAGAATTAATAGTCAAAAGAAGTCCAGAATAAGAAAATAGTTTGAAGATTTAGATGATACAACCTAAAGCTTCAGCACAGATTTCTCAAACTATTGGCTTCGTTTTGTCATCCGTAACTCAAATTCTTGCCCTATCCTCAATTTTTTTAAACTGAGGGGAAACAAACTAGCAGCACATAACTTTTATTACATATTACAAACATATATACAATAATTATGATCACTATATTCAGTACCTTTTTGACCTTGTTTTTTTTCTCATAGGACTCTGATAGAGGTTTTTTCTTCTGCTGAGTTGTATCTTTGGAGAATAAATACTCAAATTCACTGGTATCCCGGATATCAGGTTCTTCTAGGGAATCCCATAAGGTTGGTGCAGTATTTTGGCTTCAAAGAGAAAGCAACAGGTTAAACTTCAGAGACAATACATTTAAAAAAAAAAACCAGAATACAATGGAATATCTCTCTAATGTTTTAATCCTTTTTTCTAATCCAAACATGCAGCTCTAATAAATTTGGGGAAAAGGATTATTTTATTATACATGCTTTCCCCCTGAAAGTCAAATTTATGAACAAACATTTTTTAAAAAATAGTATCAGAGACATAGCAAAACTCTGTAGAACCTGAAATCCTGGGATTAGGATTCTTGAGGCTACATAATCTGCTCTTTTCTAAATGTGGAATTTTCAAAGCATGTGAAAAAAATGAGCATAAAGGTAGGAAAAAAACGATTTTGAGACACCCAAGGGATCATTCTTAAATAGAATGAAAATGGAGCACTAATGTAAAGAGTTAACCTCTTTCTTAATTTTTCTCTACTAGTTTTAAATGTTTCAGTCACCCCAGTGCAGAACCAATAATATGTGAACAGCTGTGTTCATTTAGAAACACTTGATTTATATATAATACGCCACCCCACCATCATCAATAATAAAAAACAAACCCAAAGTTCCATTGCCACAGCCTCCATGGGGATTTCAACTACAGCAGCCACAGAAAAACTGAGTTGAGATTTGTTTTTAAGAAGTAGGGTGCCCAGCAGCTTTTGGCAGAAATGCGTCCAGACCCCGCAGTAGGTTACTTAAGCCAGTCCACCCCAGGGAGGAAAGGGTGCTGTTTCTTCGCCTGCTCCCCCTAGGTGGTTCAGTGGTCACCATCCTCCAGAGGCCACTGGACAGTCAGGTTTGGGCCCACAGTGACAGGACAAGGAGGGCCTCACGGGATGGGGGTGGAGCTGGCCCTTTCCTCCCCATCCCAACGAGACCCTGAGTTGCCGTTTTCGGCCTCTCTGGCTCCTAATCAAGCCTCTTAATGGCCATGATCCCTGAGACTCAGAAACAAATTTCAGAACCCAGCAGCTTTTGGCAGAAATCCCTCCAGATTTAATTGTTAAAATTTCGGAATTTCAAAATTGTGCAGCCAATATTGCAGCCGCCTGGCATCATATGTTATTCATAAGTAGAAATAGAAAACAAATTGTCTACTGTTGCCTTTTGGGCAGATCTGAGTTGGGGTAAAATCCCAAATAATAATGGTGGGTCTGGTGTCGAAATATTGAATGTAATCAAAGTAGAGAGAGAGAGAGTAATGTGGAAATCATCTGCCCCACAGGTAGGGGGAGGGTGTAGGATGGGGGTTTACTGGGGATTTTGGTGGTGGAGAATGGGCAGTGGTGAAGGTACGGGTGTTTCATTGTATGATCGAGACTTAAATCTGAAAGCTTTGTAACTGCTCTAACGGCGATTCAATAAATAAAATTATAAAAAATGAAAAAAAAAAGTAAGGTGAGTTCATGACCAATTCAATCAGCGTAATCAGTGGCTGAATAAATAGCAGTACTCCTACATTAAAAAAAAAAAAAAGAAGTAGGGTACCTCAAGTTTTGCAACAAAGGAAAAGAAAACAATATGGAAAATAAGGCACAGAAAACTGCCTCTGAGCTCTTCAATGGGTTATGATGCAAACTTCCATCAAAAAGGACAATTTTCTCCCAAATGTCTCCTTTTTAACTTATCTAATTAAAAAAAATTAATGTCCAAAGCAGGGGAGGGGAAGATGCCTCAGATGCACATTCACTGGACTTACCAAGTTTCAATGCTTTTTTATTTCAATAGATAAAAACCAAAAGACTGTTATATGGCAAAATATATATTACATATGCTAAATAACTAAAAGTTCATTGTTTGTTTGCTGAGTTTTTTGGCAATACCCAGTAGTGCCTGGGCCCTACTCCCAGCTCATTGCTTCGGAGTCATTCCTGGTGGTGCTCAGTGGACCATGTGGTGCCAGGAACTGAACTCAGAGCTGCTGCATGCAAAGCATGCACTCTATTATTCCAGGCCTACATGGTGATTTTTATGTTGAAAATAGTTGGAAACTATTCTGTGTCCATATTTTGCTGTGCTTATTTTTCCCATGAGATATGACACTGGGTTTTAGTAATATTCAGTTCACTCAGTCTATTTAAATATGTTTATATATTCACTTCACTCACTCTATTTAAATATATTTATATACATATACACATATATATACCACCTAATGTAACCATTTGATCATTTAAGGAACACATAAGTATCATATGTAACGTATACAATATTACAATTAATACTTGTAATATCACCATCCAAGGACTTGACCATTTCCAATGAAAATATGTCTATGTGCTCTTTCCTGAGCCACTCCTTTTCTTGATTCATTTAATTTAACTTGAAACATAAATACCATTAATATTTAGGTCTTTAATAGCTTTGGAGCTTGCAGCCTGTTAAGGGCTGCTGGTCCAGGCAGAAGGAAGGCTCTGGGAAAATTGAGCAGAAAACAGAGAAGATAGTGACAGTTTTAAATAGCAGTAAGTAGACAGTTGAGACCCTTCACCTCCCATCACCTGTACCACATGGTCTCAGCTCTGAGAAATCTGACCTCAATGTGCCTGGAGCAATAGCACAACAGGTAGGGATTTTGCCTTGCACACGGCCAACCAGGTCCTAGCATCCCATATAGTTCCCTGAGCACCGCCAGGAGTAATTTCTGAGTGCAGAGCCAGGAGTAACCCCTGTGCACTGCCGGGTGTGAACCAAAAAGAAAAAAAAAAAGAAATCTGACCTCAAGTGGGGACAAGTGCAGTAGCTCATATCCGGGATAAAATACACTTTGGGAGTCTGGCAGAATACTTTATCACCATGTACAATGTTTCCATGGGCAAAAGGATTACCAATAATGACTGAACCAAAAATGAAATTCTCAACTCTAAGTTAAGGCAACTGGTTCTTGATAGAAGTATGAGTTGGGGTGGAGGGAAATAGCACTCTCATGAGAAATCATCTATCATAGTGGTTGCCAATACTCAGTCTCTCTCTCTCTCTCTGAAGATAAACACTAAGGAAGACACCAAGGAACTAGGAGATGAGAATTTCTTCTTTAACGAAATGTTTCTTACTTTAACACCACTAAACAGACAAAAATCAAAACAAAAAGCGAGAGTTAAAAAAAAAAAATCTGGTCATCCCATAGTTATCACCACATAAGCTTGTTTGCTGGTCCAACTTTACAGACTTGTAATTAAATCTCGAAGACATGCAAATCAAGCCACCAAAATTCATGAGTACAAGGATCTCGAGGGGAGAGGGCCAAGTGAAGGCCCTACTGAAGCCCCGACAGCCACATTCATAGCCCACAGCTGCCCCCATGCCAACGGCTCAATGCCACTGATTCATGACTAATCTCTACTGAGGTGCAGAAACACCAAACTGGTAAAAACTCTAGGTATACCAGTTTTCAGGCGGAGAGTTTTGGGGTATTCAAGTGGGGACAGGCAGCCTCCCCCTCAGCCCTCTGTACTTCTACAATCCCTGGCGGCCACACCCACAACCTACAACTACCACCATGTAAACTTACAGCCCAATAACACATCCTGGAGTACCTGTAAAGGCTGTGCAACACCTCCAGATTTTACAACACTGACATCCCAGTAGGCACACACTAAGTTAGATGGGAAAGCAACATAGAAGCTAACCAAAAATCAATAAACAATAACACAGAAGGCTCAACTAGCAATGAACAGTTTGGTAAACCCTCAGACAAGGATTTAATGACCCCCATGGTGAGATATAAAAGTTTTCACAAACTTTCTTTTATGTAAGTATTTTTCGATAATTTTATTGGCCGTTTAGTTGTAACAAGCTATATAAAATAAATTATTTTGTGCTGGCTAAGAAGTCATACCTCAGGAGCATACTTCCCCGTTTAGGGACAGTGGTAGAGGGAAGGTTATACGAGTGGTAAGATTTGGTGTTGGAACATTGAATGTCTGTAAGAACTGTATTATGAACAACTTTGTAAACCACAGTGTTTAAACAAAGAAAAAAACAATCAGATCATGTCAAAAGAAAAAGCAATTTAGGTGGATGAGAGTCATTATAGACATCATGTATAGATTGTACAAAGGGCGTGGCCTTGGTATTACAAAATATTAAAATACCATTTCAGGGGCTGGAGAGATAGCACACTCAAGAATCAGTGGCATTGAGCCAATAAATAAAATAAAATGGCATTTTATTCTATTATGGGCTGGAGCGATAGCACAGCGGGTAAGGCGTCACCTTGCACGGCCAACCTGGGTTTGATTCCCAGCATCCCATATGGTCCCTGAGCACTGCCAGGAGTAATTCCTGAGTGCATGAGCCAGGATTAACCCCAGTGCAATGCTGGATGTGACCCAAAAAAGCAAAAATAAATAAATAAGTGTAGCACTGTAGCACTATCCTCTCATTGTTCATCAATTTGCTTGAGCAGCCCAGTAACGTCTCCATTGTGAGACTTGTTGTTACTGTGTTTGGCATATCACGTATGTCACGAGTAGCTTGCCAGGCTTTCCCATGCGGGCAAAATACTCTTGCCTGGGCTCTCTGAGAGGGGCAGAGGAATAAAACCCAGGTCAACTGGCTGGTCGCATGCAAGGCAAACGCCCTACCCAAAGTGCAATCGCTCCAGCCAAATAAAATAAAATAAAATAAAATACCATTTCACCTCCATTAAAAGAACACATTTCATCTCAAATAATTTTACATTTTCCCATAAGTGAATGCTACAGAGATCATTTTAGTTTAAAATAAGCCACTGTAGGTGCCAGGGACGTGGCTCCACAGAAGAATGCACATGTGTGACTCTGTCAGTTCAACTCCTGCCACACCCCCAAGGCACAGCTGAGTGTGATCTCCTGTTCTGATGTGATCCTCAGCAATACAGCCAAGTGGGTGACTCATAGCGTTCAACAGTAACAACAAAGGGAAGAAACAGGGGAAAACAGTGGTAAAGGTGCTTCTAAGTACAAAATCATTTTGAGAGACCCACAATGACAGATGAACAGTGCAGTACAGCAGGAAGAGGGTGGGTTGCCATTTAGCATCCAACTTAGGGCAGCTCCCACCCTTGCCCTAAACACAGTCTTTAGACTAGGTACCCTATTGTCACCGGTCAGAACATTCATCTATTTTTCATTTCCCTGAACTGAGACCCTAAATTTCTAGGGAGACTAAAAAGAACTTGACTACTCAATTGCTTTCTTCCTCATAATGGTCAATGGTTATCTCCAGCTTGCCTTCACATACCAGGAACAGGTGGGCAAAGGAACTCATTTCCCACCCCACTCAATGGCTCTGGAATTCTCTGTGCATAATATCCTTTGAGCTACTGAGTCACAGGTGTGAAACAGCTCCACACACGGCCAGCATACACAAGTGGTAGGTCACTCCTTTTGCAATGGCGGAACATTAAATTGACAGCACAAAGAAGAGAATGTAGTTCTGAATAAATATCCTGGGATGTTACTTAAGAAATAGCATCTGAGTCTTAAATGGGAAGAGGGGGATATGAGTACTTTAGTTAATGGGAGGAGCTACTTTATTCTATGTCTATCATTTTTATTTAAAATGATTCATTTGGAAAATTCTAAAAGTATCAGCATTTTTAAAAAGTATCAGAAATATCTGAAAATACACTCTTGGGAAAAGGAGAGATAGCGGAAGAGGGTAAGATGCTTGTCGGTATGCAGCTGACCCAGGTTTGATCCCTAGCACCACATATGGTCCCCTGATCCCTGCCAGGAGTCCCTGCGTGCAGAGCTAGAAGTAAGGCTTAAGCAAAGCTGGGTGTGGCCCTAAAATCAAGTAAATAAACACTCTTGGACTTTATTAAGAAAGAGAATAATATCAAGTACACGATTGACTTAGGTCACCATATACTTAGTATTATTAAGGTATTTCTCATGCCTAGTAATTTCCAGTTGCTTTAAAATAGTGAACTACATTTTATTTTGTTCAATATTCTGTCTTCCCTGAGCAAAACGTTACAAAACTTTGAAAAACAATCCATCACTACACCTTGACTTAGGGACTAGGATCAAAATTTTAAAGTTTTCTGTATTTGCAGCTCTTTGCAAATGAAGTTTGAACCTAAGGAGGAGCTCAACATCATGCTCAATGTCCTCTCAAGAAGCTCCAAAGCAAAGCAAGAGAAATTGTATTTAAATCTGTGCAAAAGTTTCCAAGCAATGACAGCTTCCTGCCATCCTGACCTACATTAACCAGCTGTACAAATGGAAGATGCTCCATAAATATCCACACCTCCCCCTCCCCAACCTGCACATTTGCTAAAGGACAATAAGATGGACAGCTGGACAACATTCAAGTAAGGGGATCTGAGTTTAAAAGGAGTTTGTATTTTATGATATAAGTGACATGGGGCCAGAGAGACAGTACAGTGGGTAGGTCACTTGCCTTGCAGGGGGCCAACCCAGGTTCAATTCCCAATACCACATATGGTTTCCAAACACTGCTAAGAGTGATCACTGATTCCTATAGAGCCAGGAATAAGCCCTGAGTACTACTAGGTGTAATCAGAAACAACAACAACAACAAAAAAAAGATAAAGTGATTCGGCTATGTCTAATTCTGTAAATAAAAACTTACACAGATCCCTTAGGATAATAAGAAAATAGCTAATACGATAAGACATATTCTAAAGTTCTTAAATGAGCATACTGTGGTAAACATATCAGAAATAATTTATGATTGGTTGTTTACTAATAATAGTAATTAGTAATCATAAATCAATCATATTAATAGTTGGAGGAATGCTGGAGAAGATACTTAGAATATAAAAATGACTTGGGAGAGATACTCACTTTCAAACAATCCAACATTCCAAGCTATGCCACATCCAGGTATCTATTAATTTGAGGTTCATTACACCTTTTAGCATATAGTCAAGATACGGAAGCAACTCAAATGTCCAACAACAGATAATGGGTAAATATGTGTGTGTGTGTATATATATATATATAACATTAATATATATATATTTATATATCTCACTGTAGCACTGGTCCTCCCGTTGTTCATCGATTTACTCGAGTGGGCACCAGTAACATCTCACAACAAACTGAGATTTGTTGTTACTGTTTTTGGCATATTGGATATGTCATGGGTAGCTTGCAGGGCTTGGCTGTGTGGGCGAGATACTCTTAGTAGCTTGCCAGGTTCTCTGAGATACACACACACACATACACACACACACACACACACACACACACACAATGAAATACTATGCAGCCACTAAAAAAAGTCATGAGTTTGCAGCTATTTGAGTAGAACTGGAGGATATCATGCTGAGTGAACTAAGCTACAGGCAGGACAAATATGGCATAATCTCACTCATCTGTGGTGTACAATCAATAAACCTCTGAGACTGGAATACAGAACTGAGAGTGCTAGATTAGAGTCAGTAGGAAATAAACAGTCTGTCAGAAAGTAACACAGGGAGGTCTCAAGAACATGGGTGATGGCAAAGAAAGTTAGCAGTGCGTATGAGTTTCAAAGAAAAGCATGGGGGCACGCAGGACTTGAGACTTTCCCTGGCCAGCCCATAGCGATGGACAGACAAAAGACTGGGGGAATGGAGAAAACAGGGCGCAGGATTGTCCGTAGTCAGTTTATTTCTCTCTTCTCCCCAGCGTAGTCAGATCTCTCCCCTTACAGCACAATTGTAGTCGTAGTTTTGGTCATAGTCCCAGTCACTATAGTTCAATTATTCTAGTCTCCTCATAGACCTCAAAATCCTCTACCTCTCTTACTCCTTACAGCATAGTTATATAGAAATCATGAAGGGTGGGATACACATAGGTGTGGTTGAACATTGTCATAACAACAAACAGAGGTAAAGTCAATCCTTCAGGGGAAGTTCTAGGATATGAACTCAAGGACAAAATCTCATCTGAGCACTCCAGATTAATAGGAGATCCGTTCAAGGGTGGGATTCCATTCCAGGTTGTATTGCTTTATCCTTTCCTCAGCTAGTAAACCATTTAAACAGTCATAATAAATTTACTTCTCATAATAGTTCTAGTCATTCTATATGAACACAGTAAGAGATGTATTAAGCTTAAAGATTGGCTCTTCCTGGAGACATCTCACTACATATCCAGACTACAGTCCTCAGGCCAGGTTAGTCTTTCCTAACCCCAGCAGGATCCTTATACAGTTACTTCTTTTTGAGTCATGACAGAGTTTGTCACATGACCATGCTCTTAACTTGCTGTATCTGTTATGGCACTTAGCTTGTCCCTTTCCAATGTCAGGGTAGCTTATGGCTTGCCCTGTGTTCCTCCAGTCCCTTCATCAGGATCCTCCTTTGCGGGTATTCGGAAATAAGGGCAACTGAGGTTCAAATCAGGTAAATATGGATGTCTAAGAGTAAATATCATTTTGGAGTCAATTAACTCCCATGTTACAAAGCATGGAACTCTGCGCCAGGCTGTTTTCACTCGGGGTGCCCCGGGGGGGGGGGGGGGCCGGCGAAAGCCCTCCCCGCACTAAGGGACCCAGCCCTGGCAGCCGACCTCCACTACCAACTGCCGCTACACTCCAGGCCGCTTTACGGACCACACGATCCCGCGACACATCATGGGACACTTCTTACCCATTGTCCCTAATTACCACACCATGTTTAATGGAGTTCAGACAGTAGGCAATAAATCATAGAAATATATATATATATATATATATATGCCTCTCAGAGATCCCGGCAAGCTACCAAGAGTATCCCACCTGCACAGGAAGAGCCTGGCAAGCTCCTCGTGGTGTACTCGATATGCCAAAACCAGTAACTATAACAGGTCTCATTCCCCTGACCCTGAAAGAGCCTCCAATCGTTGGGAAAGATGAGTAAGGTAAAATCTAAAATCTCAGGGATGGGAGGAATGGAGAAATTACTGCTGCCCACTAGAGTAAATTGACAAATGGGATGACAGTGATAAAGCGATACAGTTACAAAGCATCATATGAACTGTCTTCCTGTGTCTATACAAAAAGGACAATGCTAAATAAGGCAGGCAAATAACACAAAGGAAAGAGAAAAGCAATACAGGATTATTAGTGCTTAATAGAATTGGGTATGCCTCAGGGGCACTGTTGTGGGAGTAGCTCAATAAATCTTAAGCTCCCTGAGGGAGGAACAAGAACAACCCAGTGTTCTCCAACAAGTATAACCAAAATCATGATTCTACCGAGAAACTATGGGAGGGGGGAGCAGAGTGGGAAGAATGTAACATTGGACAAGAGTGGACACAGGAATGGGTACTTTGGTCACAAGGGTGGGCAGTATCTTTGCGATCAATACCAGAATCTTAAACACTATTATAGCCCTGTAACCTAAACTTTAACATAACACACACACACACACCACAAATATACATAAAGAATTAAAAGTCAACTAAAACAAAGTACTCCAATCTTGTTATGAGAAGCATTTAATCTACCATATTTGAGAATGAATGCTGCTCTATGAAAACCTTGCTTTGGTAAGCATAAAATGTGATTTGTACAAAATTTTGTGAATCCACAAGCTGAAAATGCTTCAGAGAATTGTACTTACCTCTTATCACTTATTTGTATTCTAGTCCAATACAAAGGCTTCATGGGACAACTGGGCTCAATGGCCGGCTTCCGAGGACACTGGCTAGCAGAAGAGCCAGCTCCAAAGAAGAGTCCAGGAGGGGGTGGGGGCACAAGTCCTGGAGGTGTTGGAGCAGGAGGAGGTCCTTCACTGTTGGGCAGAGCAGGAGAACTGGGAAGAGGTGGAGGGGGAGGAGGCGGCAGAGGCCCATTACTTAGAGGCAATGGTGGTGGTGGAGGTGGTGGTGGTGGTACAGTACACATGGATGGTGGTGGTGGTGGTGGTGGTGGTGGTGGTGCCGGTGGCAAAGGTTCAAGTCCAGGAAGGGGAGGAGGTGGGGGAGGAATTGCTGCTGGGAGAGGTGGTGCAGGAGGGGGAGATGAGGCTTTCTGTTGACTTGAAGAGCTATCTTCTGCAGCAGGAAATGGTACATGGGTATCTTGATTATCACTGGGGGGAGAGAGCTGGCTTAAAGAAGAGATATTCAGCTTCTTGGGTATTATTTGATTACTTCTAGTTGTCTTGTTTTCACTTTCACAGGGTTTGAGGAAAGTCTCTCTGTCTGTCTGGATGCACACATTTCTGTAGACCTTAGGAAGGCAGTCATCAACGGTGGAGATGCATGCGTCTCTCATCACTTCACACCCTCCGCGCCATCGATGTTCAATTTCATATTTGAGATGTTCAATTTTTTCTTCTAGTCTTGCTGTTATCTCTGCATGCTCCCCTCGGATGTGAAAGGTCTTTAGTTCAAACTGAGCCTAAAGAGATAGCAGTAAGGAAAAAGAGTTACTAAAAGCAAACACCAGAAGTAAAAAAAAAAAAAAAATTAAAGATTTTTTTACCTGCTTCAATGGCAGAATGACCACTGTGAAACAAAGTTCCTTGTTAAAGTACAAGCAAAATCCAATCACATATGATGGGAGCGGGGATGGGGGGCGAGGGGGGGGGGGCGGCAGACTCTCACCACTCACATCTTGGTTTGCAAATGAGATAAATGTGTCTTTGTATTTGGGGGAATATGATTGTGGTACAGAATAGCATTAAAGGGGAGGGATGGTTCATTGAGGATGCCCATGATCAAGAGAGATCTGAACATCATCTGTGAGTACTGCAGGCTGACCTGACCTGGTAGGGAAAGGTACGAGAATGTACAAAGAGCAATCTCTCTTTCAGAGGACAAAGACTGTTGTGGCCTAACAACCAAACTTTGGTATAAAACACAAATGAGCCAAAGTTAAAGTGAGTCCTGTGTTTCAGGCTAGCATCAGCTGGAATGTGGATTCCCTTTCCACCTCTCTTAGGGAATAGAGCAGCCACTGAGCTGCAGCCAGAGCAAGGAACTGTAAGAAGCACCAGTGACAGGAATAATTGACTGGCATGATCACAGAAACCAACAAACAATGTGGAGCTCGCCCTCTAAGTTATTATATTCCCACTCCTCACTATCAAAAGTGAAAACACTATCATTAAAGTTTTCTATTTCCATCTCCCTGTTCTTTGGCTTTGGCAGCCAAAGACCTCCAGGACCAGCCACCACCATGCTGAGACCACTCTCTGCACACAAGAAGGTACCGGCAGAGGGACAAAGCCACACGGGTTCCGGGGCCAAGATCTCCAAGCCTACTCAGATTGGGGCTGAGCATCCTCCACCCAGATCCTCCAAATTCCAGTAGGCGGGGGTCACACCCACCAACTGGCCCCCTGGCGCCGTGTAATCCCATAAGCGGCCAAGATTCGGAGACTATAAAACCCATCTCCCGGAAGCGCGCGGCTGCATTCATGGCCGCGCAACATCTTATCATCTCATTTCTACTTTGGACAAACTGGCAGGCTACCGAATGTAACCTGTCCACAGGGCAGTGTCTGGCAAACTCTGCGTGGCGTACCCAATATGCCAAATACCAGTAACAATGAAGGGTCTCATTCTCCTAACTCTGAAGGAGCCTTGAATATGGCACTTAAAAAAAAAAAAAAACTCAGGGCTAGGACGAAGAGACGTTACTGGGGCCTGCTCGAGGCAATCGACGAATAACAGGATGGTTTTGATTTTTTTGTGATTGTGATCTCCCTGTTCTAGTCAAGGCCTAGAAATTAAGGGGGATTCCACATTAAAGTCACAGCACCATCTGCAGGAAAACAAACATTATTCCAGATACATGCAGAAAAATTGAATGCTGAAGACCATCCTAAGAAATGAGACAATCAAAAAAAAAAAAAGAAAGAAAATAAAAAACAAATAAAGGTAAATCACCAGTAGAAAAAATTAAAGATACCTAGAGGTATAACAGGGAAAAAAAGAAGACCCATCATAACATAATCAAAGTTAAAGAGCCTCATACACAAATAAGCAAGACAAGGTATATATGTGCGTAAATATATATGCACATAAGCATATATGTTTGTATACAGTTAAAGTACTATATGACCACAAAGAGTTCATCACCAAAAAAATTTAAGATCCTAAAAATATTTCAAACAGTGGTTCTTACTATGAAGAACAGCTCGCTGATATCCAAACTTCAGAAGCATCATAAGTAGACTCACTCTCAGAAGAAAGAATATAGACAATTGAAGATGGATGCAGAAAAGGCTCGATTGGAAGAGGGGAAACAAGAATTAGAGAAACTGAAGAAAATATTTAAGAAATATAAAACTCCATAAGTAAGTAAAGGCCCTCCCGTTGATCATCGATTTGCTCGAGTGGGCCCAGTAATGTCTCCATTGGAGACTTTGTTGTTACTGTGTTTGGCATATCGAATACATCATGGGGAGCTTGCCAGGCTCTGCCGTGCGGGCGAGATACTCTTGGTAGCTTGCCGGGCTCTCCGAGAGGGGCGGAGGAATTGAACTCGGGTCGGCCATGTTGGCTGCGTGCAAGGCAAACGCCCGACCGCTGTGCTATCGCTCCAGCCCGAAACATTAGTGTAAAGGGGATACAAGAGGCAAGAGGAAATAGAAAAGAATGTATTCAAATAAATTGCAGCTGAAAGTTTCCTAAACCTAATGAAAGAAATAACCACAGATGTCCAGAAAACTGAAACAGGCAAATTTTTGAATCCTAAAAAATACAATAGGTGTATCTTCATCAAATTATCAAAAAGTCAATGAAAATGGGGAAAAAACTGAGGATGGCTAAAGAAAAAAAATAACACAAGGACCACTATTAGGTTTTTACCAAATTTCTCAGAAGAAATCCCATAGGATAGAAGAGAGAGTAATGCCATAGACACTTTAGCCTGAGCAAAATTATTCAAATATGAAATAGAAATATACTTTTTAAGGCAAACAAAAGTTAATAGAGTAACATCACCATAGCTGTCCTACAGGAAATGACTAAAGGATTTCTTCTGCATAAAAAGAACAAAAGATCACAAAATCTTGAGCAAAGGAATCCAGAGTAACATGATAATAGAAGCAAAAGCAATAGTGTTTGAGACAAAGATAAATGGGAAGGAAGGAAAAGGACAGAACCAGTATAGTTACATGATGATGAGTCAATACCTGCACCAAGAAAAGTCTGTTTTAGACAGAGAAATATGATATAATTTCCTAGGAACCACAAACCAAAAATCTGAAATAGAGCCAAGAAAAGACATGGAGACAAGAGAGATAGTACAGTGGCTAAGGCACAGGCCTTGCATTTGGCAACCTTGGTTAATCATCTTCACCATATGGTTCTTTAAACATCACCAGGTGTAGCCCTCAAAGTCCCCAAGCATTGCTGAGGGAGACTGAGCAAGCCCCAGCACTGCAAGATCTAACAGCACCACATCCGTAGGCCCTTGTATTAAACCACCAGCCTGACAGCCCATTCCTGACACTGGAATGGCCCCCTAGGGTCTTAGAGTACGTTTCAGAGACCTGAAGAAAAAAACTGAATCACTAAGGAAGCCATATCATATGACATGCAACTCATATGAAAATCATTCATATGACAAATCATTCATATAAAAAGAAAAGCAGATCAAAACCAATGGGGGCAACAGGAATACAAGGAAACCAGAAGAAGAGTTGAAATAATAGTCAAGTAAGCCTCATATAACCACAAGAATTGCTCTAAATGTGATTCTTCTATAAATTTATCAAACGACCCATCTTTATAATGTATGCAGGAGTCTTATCAGACACAAGGACAAATCTAAATTCAGAGTGAATACTGGGAAACTGCTATTCTTGTACCTGAATAAACAGACTTTAAAAGGAGCAAGCAGGGATATTTTATATTCATTAGTTAATCCAGCAAGATTTAACATGTGCGGGGCCAAAGCAATAGTACAGCAGGTGGGGTATTTGCTTAGCACACGGACAACCCAGTTCACTTCTCTGCACCACATATGGTCCTCCAAGTTCATCCTAAGAAGAGAACCTTGAGTAAGCCCTGAGCACAGTCAGGTTTTTTTTTTTTTTGGAGCTCTCTGTCAAAAAAATAAAATTTACCACGGATAAGTGCAGAGGAGTGAAAAGTGACCAAATATACAAAAATAGGGATTCACAAAACACCACATATAGTACTATGGGCAGATAATTCAGATGAAGTAATTCTCAAAAACTGAACATACATTGGGACATAAATCTTAAGTATATAAAGAGTAAAATCACATGTTTAAATATCATATGAAAATTCTTTCAAATATCTTTTCCAATCATAAAACTGTAAGATTAAAATAACAAAAAGTAAACAGAAAAAAACTCAAAATGTGTGGGTACTAAACTATATGCTTCCGAATAACTCTTGGGTCAAAGGAAAATAAAGTTACACACAAAAGAATAAAAAGATGACTAGATACTAAAGGACAAAGCTACAAGTGGAAGAATGAAATTATAAGTGATATTATGGAAATATAAAGGATCATAGCAGACCATTATAAGTCTAAATTTGACATTCTAGAAAAAATGGTTAATTTTCTTGTATAATCTTCCAAGGCTGAACCTGAAGAAACAGAAAACTTTGAAAATTAATTATAAATGTAGAAATAGAAGCAGTAATAGAGTATTTCTAACACAAAAGGTCAGAAAAATGGCTTCATCATCAGTAAGCTGTATAAAATTTTTAAAGGACTAATACTCATCCTACTCAAATTTCCAAAAATTCAAAGAGGAAAAACAACTTTAAACATTGTGTGGAGCCAACCCGGATAGAAAAACACACAAAAGGAAAGGAAACTACAGATAGATATCCCTTATAAACACAGACATGAAAATCTTGAAAAAGCAAATGCAGAATCATATCAAAAGAATCACTAATCGTGAACAAGTGAGATTCATCCTAGGAATGCAAGGATGGTCCAATATATGCAAATCAATTAATATGACATACCGCACCAGCCAAATAGAGATAAAAATATGTACTAATAAACACTGAAACAACTTTTATAGGACTGATCTGCTTATGATCAAAATGATCAATGAATTGAGAAAAGAAGAAACATACCTGAACATAATAAATACCTAACATAACAAACCTAGAACATCATACTGAATGGTGAAAGGAACTCTCACCCAAACTTTTCAACAAAGTTTTAGAAGTCTAGTCAGAACAATCAGGCAAGAAAATTAATCCAAACTAGATAAAAAAAAAATCTAAAATGTTTGTAAATGACATGATACTAATACACATTGAAAACCCTGAAAATTTCTCCAAACTATTATAGAAATGAGTTCATAAATGATAGGATATAAAGCCAATGTATACTGATATTGCATTTCTATGGGGAAGGCAAGTTAATAACAAATGCTATTTTGCAATTGCATTAAAGTG